GCATATTCTGAAGGGGCAAGCCCAACAGGTCAAGTCTACGATACCCGTAGGATTCCTTACAATGTTGATTCTGGGACATCTATGGCTTGCCCTCACATTAGTGGTATTGTTGGCCTTCTACGGAGCGTCCATCCTGATTGGACTCCAGCTGCCATTAGGTCTGCCATTGTCACCACAGGTATATATATGAATATATATGGAGTACAGTTACATTCTAGCTAGCTATCTTTGAATTTCCATTTAATTCTAGATCAGAACATAGTATGGCTTTTTATTTAGTCATTGGTTGCACTAAATAAAAGTATAAAATATACTCACTAATCAAATTAGACTATTGCAAGAGTTTTAGTAGTGGAAAAGTCAATTGGTTACTACTATAACTTATTTCTAGTCTTAAAGTGATATGGAGTTATGAAAAAGTAGTTTTCTTGATCACCACAAGTGTTTTGTTTCTAATCTTGAAACACTTTTTTCATCTAAGTTAAGTAAGTACACTCTCTATTAATCTAGTTTCTAAGTATAAAGATTTAGTTAATACGGAGTTACAAATATATCAATTATTGACGTACAGGAAAAAAAATAATTCTATGTTCATTCAACGTTGCAAGTCATTTTCAAAAAAAGTATTTCACATAAGTATTTTTGACTTTGCACCCCACTTTTTGGATGATATTGGACTTTGCACCCCATTTTCAAAAAAACTTTGACTTTGCACCCCAAGGCATACCATTTTGTGAAGAAACATTTCTAAATGGGGTGCAAAGTCAAAGGAATTTTAAGTGGAATGGGGTGCAAAATCAAAGTTTTTTCAAAATGGGGTGCAAAGTCCAATATCATCCAAAAAGTGGGGTGCAAAGTCAAATTCTTCCTTTTTATAAAGATCATTTTCCTCACAAATTACTATCATTCGTTTGGATAATACTTTTTTCTTGGAATATTATGTATAGCCAGAGTGAGAGACAACACGGGCAATCATGTAAAGGATGCTGACTACACAGAAGCAACGCCGTTTGCCTACGGCGCCGGTCACGTCCGACCAAACCGTGCCATGAACCCCGGCCTGGTCTACGACCTGACCGAGGCGGACTATTTAAATTTCCTCTGTGCGAGCGGCTACAACCATACCACAATGAGCAAATTCTCAGGCGCAAAGCATTATACATGTCCCAGCAATCTTGACCTCTTGAATGTCAACTACCCCGCCATCACCATTCCCAACCTCTCGGGCTCCGTCACCGTCAGTAGAACTGTCAAGAATGTCGGTAAACCAGGAACCTACACTGCCCTGACACTTGAACCAGATGGAGTTTCTGTATCTGTGGAGCCTCAGACCCTCCATTTCAAGGAAAGAGGGGAAGAGTTGAAGTTCAAAGTAACTTTGAAGGCCAAGAAGAAAGTTGAAGGTCACGTTTTTGGTGAGTTGAAATGGTTTGATGGGATTCACCACGTGAAAAGCCCCATAGTTGTTGCTATGTCTTGAAGCTGCGTGCCTATGCTTAGGGTTAGACTTTAGGTTATATTCCGTAGCTAATTCTAGCAAATATAGTTGATTAGTTTATCAGAATTACTCCGTATTTAGTTTAGCTTCAATATTTGTTTACTTTTGCTTTATCTTTCAATAAAAGTTGCATAAGACCTATTTAAAAATTACGAAGTATTACGGATTTCCTAGGGCACCCGCCTCTAGGCTTTTTTTTTCGAATTCGATCATATTGATCGAAGTTCGGCTGTTCTTGTTCGCATATCTGGCCGCGGAGCAGTGGTGTGCTTTTGTCTAAGGTAGAGCGATCACGAGTTTTTCTCTCTAGGGCTTTGACTATGTCGGCCGCCAGAGCCTGTTTCCGATTTCGACTTTGTTGAAGATCGGCTTTGTTATCCGTTGCTCGTTGGTGCTCGACTGGAGTCCAGGTCAGACGCGGATAGGGTTGTAAACAAATCGAATCGAATACTTGATAATATTATTCATAATTGTATAATTATCGAATATTCATATTCGTATTCGTTTACAATTCAAATCTTATTTGATATTCGTATTCGATTCGTTTGATATATTCGAATACATCTAAGGCTATATAAAGGCTATATTTTTGGAAGTTAACCGCATTTTATATGTATATAAAGTGCGCAGTTAACTTCAAACAATCATTTGACTGCCTTCCCGATGGAAGTTTTAGCTGAAATTTGGTATGAGTAAACTAGACTTGATAAAGAACGTGCTCAAAACATTTCATCAAAAAATTCCACCAGGAAGGGGCCCAAAAGCCGAGGTCCATACGGAGGTCCGTTTTTTGAGGTCCTGACAGGAACACTACTCAGTTACATTATATAAATAACTATGCAATTTTATGAACTATAGCTCAAACATAACCATTTTCCAAAAATATGACTAATAAAATTTATATGATTAAATATAAATATTAAACCTAAAATACCCTTGCATGAAAAAAATCTAGTAATGATTCGCCTGTTATATATATAGTGTTATTCTAGTCCGGCTAGGCCGGATAGGAGGGTGGTCCGACCACCTCGTTTTGAGGCGGTTCCCGATGACATTTTTTGCTTAAAATTTTGGGAAAAGTACAGAAAACGTACATGTGGTTTGGGCCATTTTCAGATAGGGGTATGTGTTTCATTTTCTAACAAAGTGGGGCATGTGTTTCAATTCCGTTATCATAGCAGGGGCATGACGTCTAACGCTGTTAAAAAAATTAACTCCGATTTTAAAAAGTCTCCAAAAAATTAAAAGAAAGATATTGGGAGGTGCGCCTCATCAAGGAGATCAACAAACTATCTTTATTTTTTGTTTCCAGCCACCATATCTCCAGAAAGTCCATCAGAAAATTGATATTAGAGAATTTGTTTTGAAAAAATAATCCCAATAGAGCCGAAAAATCCAAAGAGAAAGATATTTGTTGATCTCCTTGACGAGGCGCACCTCCCAATATTTTTCTTTTAATTTTTCGGAGACTTTTTAAAATCGGAGTTAATTTTTCTAACGACGTTAGACGTCATGCCCCTGCTATGATAACAGAATTGAAACACATGCCCCACTTTGTTAGAAAATGAAACACATGCCCCTATCTGAATATGGCCCAAACCACATGTACGTTTTTTGTACTTTTCCCTAAATTTTTTGAGCATGTTCCTCATGCAATGTAGATGATCTTCACCAAATTTCAGCAAAAAATCAATCAAGGAGGCAACCAAATTGTCAAATGATTTTTTGAAAATAACTGCTACAAAGTATACATATAAAATGTTTTGAATGAATTTTTTTATGTCACATTAGTGACTAATGGGGCTTTTTGCCATTTTGTGTTTGTTGGTAGAAGGAGACTGGTAGAAGATAGTTGGTGGATTTTTAGTTTTTCGATGGTTGTAACTGCAAACTAGGGGTGGGTGTATCGGTTTGGTTTAATCGAACCGTACCAAACCGAAATCAGACCGTATGCAATTTGGTTTGAATTTGGTATTATTTCATCCAAACCGTATTAAACCGAATCGAACCAAAACCAATAAAATTCAAACAAAACCGAACTAAACTAAAGAAATTAAAAAAAAAACTTCATATATTATTAAAAAATAACAAATCCAAATTGAGCAACATCGAACTGAACCAAACCGAAAAATAATATTATTTTTGTTTGGAAATAAAATTTTCAAACCGTTTCACACCAAATCGAACCGAAACTGAAAAAACGAACCGAAATTCAATATGCACACTCCTATGGCAAACCATTGATTAATCAATATAATTTGACAGAAGTTATTAAATAAACAATTATTTAATTTGTTATTCGTGTAATGCATGAGTCAATTGAAGGGTATTGTGAGCGCCTATATGGAACTATTTATGAGTTTTGCTTCATGTACACACTGGCTTACACACTCAAGTGTAATTGTCAATGCACAAACAATTACGCTTGGATTTAGTAAAGAGAAGTGTTTGTGATCCCGAATTGTCTGCGTACAGACTATTCATTTTTTTGGAGTCACAAACATTTCCGTACGCTTGTAATTATATATAAACAAACAATTAAACTTGAACTTGTAAGCCAACGTGTAACACGGTCTGCAAACTCAATATTTATCCCATTGATGATGGACGGAAGTAGTAAACTGATTATTTTAGCATGGCAGGAGCCACATTTATGCTCTGTTTGGATAGAGTGAAGTTAAGTAAACATGATGCAATAAAGTAAACCTAAGTTTTAATAAAAACTAGATTAATCTAAGTGAACCTAAGTTTATTCGTAAAATAGTGTTTGGAAATAAATAAGGTAAACCTAGGTTAATGGAATAAATATTGTTTGGATGAAGGTACTCTAGCTCATTTTATGTTAACCGAGAACTTAACCTCCAAACCCCCCGTTTCGGAGGTTCTTCAATTTATGCTCTGTTTGCATAAAGTGAACTTAACTAAACTTAGTGCAATAAAAACCTAAGTTTTAGTAAAAACTAGGTTAACCTAAGTGAACTCAGGTTCATGCGTAAAATGGCGTTTGGAAATAAATAAGGTGAACCTAGATTAATGTCATAAATGTTGTTTGGATGAAGGTACTCTAGTTTATTTTATGTTGAACGGGAACTTAACCTCCGAAATCCCCCGATTCGGTGGTTCTTCAATTTGAAGTGTTTCCAGGTTCTCGGGAGTTAAGTGGAGTTAAATCATAACCTAGGTTCTTGTTGTAAAAACACAAACAAACGAGGTTAACTTAAAATTGAACCTCCAATAACTTAAGTTAACTCTCAAACAAACAGACCATTAAGGTGTTTTTAGGTTCTCGAGAGTTAAATGAGGTTAACCCATAACTAGGTTCTTGTTGCAAAAACACAAATAAACGAGGTTAATTAAAAATTTAACCATCCGTTAATCTCCAAACAAACACGCCATTAATAGTTTCCCGTTGTTGTCGCCTCTGATTGATGCTGAATTAGTAGTATGACTATCATTAGTGTTCCATCAACATGCCATTACTCCTTAGTTGTTACACTTAACCGACACTCACTCTCATACCCTCTCTCTCTGTTATACCTACACACACAGGTATTCGTTCTGATCTCGCAAAGCAGATTGATTGGTTCTGCGATTGTCCATGATCTTGAGAAGCGAAGAAGGAAAAGGGCAAATCTTTCAGTTCATCTCAGCTTTCGGGGCATAGAAGATGAGGCTGTGGAAGTCGGTATTGTTCTCATTATTGTTGGTGACAGTTCTCGCCCCCATTTTTCTCTACACCGACACTCGTCTTACTTCCTCTTGTAATTCCTGCTTCACTCATCTCAGTTTCTCTCTTTCATTTTTCGATTTATATTTGATTAATACGGTTTCCTTCACTTTCTTTTTGCAGCAAGAGATGAATTCATCGAAGAAGTCTCCGCATTTGTAAGCGTTGCCTAAATTTTATGGCTTTCTTGATCTGTAAAGACGCCATTTTTATTTTTGTTTCTAATTAATCTTTGCTTGTTCCGATTCTCTTGGATTTGTTTGTAGACATTGGGAGGTAAAATCAGGCCTTTAAATGTGCTACCCCAGGTATTTGTTTCTTCTGTGGCTGTCTCATTTACTCCAATATAGGATGTATAGCTTCTTGTGCATTTCAATCACTAGATTCTTTTATTTGTGGATATTCCCATCCAACCGAATCTAACAGGAGTCAAATACAATCACCAAAGAACCATTTGGCGTAGTCTATTCTGAAAATCCAATACTATCCCATTCAAGATTGTTTGACAACAGGAGGAATGAAAATGGCCGCAAAACGAGACAACTCACTGAAGGTTCTTGTTTACGGAACCGGGTTTTGTTTTTATTTATTTATGCTTAATGAGTACTCAGTTAGGATTTGTTTTTGGGCACCTTCGAAAACGCCTCACACTAAATAGACTCAGTTAGTATTATTTTAGCAATTCTCCCTTGTTTTTCCAATGTGGAACTGGGGTTGCACCCCCCACATTCTTTTTTGGTTTATTTCTTGGATTTCTGTAGCTAGAGCCTATGAAGTTTTATTCTGACCTGAAGATAAAATCATATGAATTGATTGTATTTATGACAGTGATTTGATTCCTTAAACTCATCGCACAGTATAATAACTGTTTGGTATTATTTACCAGAATTACTAGAAAACAGAAGGACCGATGTTCAGGAAACTGAGAATGGTGTTGTTGATGATGCCATAAGACAGGTGACTGAAGAAGGGCATAATGCTACTCATAACGGACATCAAATGTCAGTTCAAGAGGCGTCAACTGTGGATGTTGAAAGCACCAATAAGATTAATATCATGCAACATGACCAGAAGTCTGATTATTCCTCTACAACTGTGGTAAACCCACACTTTTGGTTTTTAAATGTGCTAAAGTGGAGAAAATAGGTTCAATCTATCTATGTTTTTTTCTCAATGATTTAGTTTATTTAATATCGTAATCATAGTTTTAATGGATTATTTCTGAATGGTCTCTATTAATAATTTTGCTGCTTGGACTCATATTAATAATATCATATGTAGCATCATTTTTTCTCATGAATGCTTCATTGTAATGAAATGACCTAGAAATTTCTTTACAACCTTTTTGGCGTATGTTCGATAGAGGGATTTGCAGGGCTTAATCTATATCTGTATAAATAGAATTATAGAATATTTAACCAACAAATAAATAGCAATTGAAATATTATATCATCACATATTGTGTATTCCTTCGATTTTTATAAAATCTCAAATATATATCAAGACATACACTTAGTCCTCCATAACCCAACTATTAGATAAACCCCAAGTATCCACCTAGGCACCTACTACTTCTCTCTCCAATTGTAACAGGTTTATAGGAGATTGGCAGTAGATTTGGTGCATGTAGTTGATTTTAAACCAAATACACTAAAGGTTATTATATTTCTAAATTGTTTACTTTTTGTGCATGTTTCTATTAGGAAAGAGAAAACGATAAGCGAACTCTTCAAACCTCAAGTATGAATGATTCTACCAAACACATGAGTAGCAAAACTGTGAAGCAGAGTGAACAAAACGATTATACAGATGTTCGTGTCCACCAGCTTAGGGATCAACTCATCAGGGCTAGGGTCTATCTTTCACTGTCTGCCACAAGAAGCAATCCTCAAATCGTAAGAGAACTCCGCCTCAGGGTGAAGGAAGTTGAGAGAGCAGTTGGAGAAGACAGAAAAGATTCTGAGCTACCAAGAAAGTAATTTTTCTTGCGAAAAAAGTTCTCATATTTTATTGACTATGTTACAGGGGAAGGAATAGGAGTCCGCACCCCACATTTTCATCCAAATTTGCATTTTTAAAAGGGGTTTTTACAAAAATATTACTAAAATAAAACTCATTTACACAAATATGACTATTAGTTACTATAATGTAGTGTTATAGTAACTTAAGTTTAAATATTGAACATAAATTACTATGATGTCATTACTACTCTAGTCACTAATCACATTTTTGTAAAGAGTCTTCACTTTAGTTATAAATATGTAATTATTTCTTTTTAAAATTATAAGTTTTTGTATAAGATTCTGTTATATTAGTGATTTATCGTGTATTCCGACATGTTTTTGGTTATTTGTTATCGGCTTTCTACATAATGCAAATGTATATTTGTGTGTATGGCAGTGCAAATGACAGGATGAAATCCATGGAGCAAACATTGGCTAAAGCAAAGCAAATTCACGATGACTGTACTGATTTTGTTAAAAAGCTGCGTGCTATGCTTCACACAACTGAAGAGCAGCTTCGAGTCCAAAAGAAGCAAGCATTGTTTTTAACCCATCTATCAGCCAAAACACTTCCTAAGGGTCTTCATTGTCTTCCTTTACGTCTTTCAACAGAATATTTCAAGCTAAATTCCTCTCAAAGGAATTTTCCGAATGAAGAGAATTTAGAAAATGTCAAGTTTTATCACTACGCCATCTTCTCAGATAACATATTAGCAGCAGCAGTTGTTGTCAACTCAACTGTTTCCCATACTAAGGTAGACATAAAGTCAATAGTATGCGCCACAAAATGAAATCGTTGAACATAATTTTTTTTGTTTCTTCTGTCTTCCAGTGACGTTGTTGGATTTCTACATCGAAACATAAAAAATAGAAGAATGAGTTAGTAAGACCTTTTGTCGAGCTACCTAATAGATTGAATTCAATAAACTAATGTGGTTTGGCCCAAATGTCTTTTGAGCCAGTTATGTGACTCCAATCTTGAATAAAGAGCACTATAGAAAACCCATTCTTGAATCTTTACCATTGTATCACATGATTTTCGCCCACCTTAACCTGCTTGTCAGTTGACAGTCTGGAAGTCCAGCTCCAGTGAGAGGGGGCTGAGGCATTTCAAATCTCAATTTCAGGGAATTCAATTTGTAATCAACCCACTGGTTTGATTAAAAGTGGTCAAGTGTCAACCTGAGAGTGTGTTAGAGTAAAAATTGGATTCAATGTTCTAGTTTGTTTTCCCTTGATGTCTTATGACCCACTTGACTGAGATTGACATGATCGTGAATTGTTATCAGTTCTACGGTTGTTGTACCTATTTACTTTGTATCATCTAGGTTGTAGTGCTCTATGCCCTCCAATCTTACCTTCCTCTATATTTTGTGTGCAGGATCCCTCAAAGCATGTTTTCCACATAGTCACAGACAAGCTAAATTTTGCTGCAATGAGGATGTGGTTTTTGTCAAACCCACCACAGCATGCTACAATAGAGGTTCAGAATGTTGAGAACTTCACATGGTTAAACTCAAGTTATAGTCCAGTTCTCAAGCAAATGGACAGTCCTTCCATGATTAATTATTACTTCAATGCTCGTACTACAGATAATGATTCAAACATGAAGTTTAGAAATCCGAAGTACCTTTCAATTATGAATCATCTTCGTTTTTACTTGCCAGAGATTTTTCCTAAACTGAACAAAGTCCTGTTCTTGGATGATGATGTAGTGGTTCAAAAGGATCTTACTCCCCTTTGGTCTCTCAATCTTAAAGGTAAAGTTATTGGCGTGGTTGAGACTTGTCGTGGAAGTTTCCATCGTTTTGATCGCTATCTCAACTTCTCAAATCCTCTGATTTCCAAAAAGTTTGACCCTCGTGCTTGCGGTTGGGCATATGGAATGAATATATTTGATTTAAGTGAATGGAGGAGGAGAAATATCACCCAGGTGTACCATTCATGGCAGTCCCTGGTAAGAAAACTATTTAATCAGCAAAGGTTTTGAAGTACTCTCTTTCCTTTGGTCTTATTGACAAGTCATATTAGGTTGTAAGTTCTTTTAATTTTTTTATGGTTCGGTTTTTTATGGTTAGGTTTAAAAGTCGAACTATATATGACTTTGGAGCGAGTGAAGTGGAGGGAGAATATACTGTGAAGGATTGATCTCATTTAATCTTTTTTATCTTTTTTCCTTATGATATTTCTTACCTTCTTTTTACCTTTATCTTATCTTTATTTTTGTCTTATCTTATCTTCTTTATCTTTTTTTAATCTTTTTTTATCTTATGTCATCTTTTTTAGCTCCGATTTCATATGCCGGTTCATGTTAGTTGAACCCAAATTCTTTCGGGAATAAGGTTTGATTGCTGTTGTTGTAAGTGTAAAAGACAGTCTAAATGTAAGGTTTGAATGCCATCATTCCACTTTTGGGTCTCACGACTGGTGAGTCCCTGTTTTGTTCCCCAACTTATAGTCACTCCCCCGGTCAATTTCAACATAATCTCTGGTTGATTTTAAATTTTTAACAGAATAGAAGTGAAAAAATTGGCGATAAAGGACTAAAAGTGAAAAAGCAGTTGTGATCTAAATTTGGAAAAAAAATGAAAGTTGGGGGATAGAAAATGAGAATGGCCCAATAGTCGGAAGAATACTCATATCATCTATTGGTTGTTATACGTTTTTCGTCATTTTTAATGCAATTCTCATCAGGATAGTTTTTTGTTAACACTGATAAAATGATGCTAATTCTATGCACAGAATAACAACAGACAACTGTGGAAGTTAGGAACACTCCCACCTGGTTTGATCACCTTTTGGAATCATACATATGCTCTTGATCGATCCTGGCATGTCTTGGGCCTCGGCTACGATCCCAATGTAAGTCTCAAGGATATTGAAAGAGCTGCAGCCATTCACTATAATGGTAACTTGAAGCCATGGCTTGAGATTAGCATCCCAAAGTTCCGAAATTACTGGTCAAGGTTTATTGATTACGATCACGATTTTTTGCGAGAGTGCAACATTAATTCTTTAAGCAGCAATTGAAATGTTTAATCCATAGTCTCGATCTAAACTACTTTCACAGTTTCACCTTCTTTCTCCTAGGTCTGTGCTCCATTTTTCTTTCACTTTGGTTCACAACCCAATTATTTTATACAAGTCAATTCTTATTCCTCTGCTCTTTGTAAGCGTTGGTTCTCTTCTCCTCATAATAATTACTCATCTCAGTTTTGCTTTTAGTACATTTCTTTTACATTGGATCCCGGAAAATACTAAAAGAAAGAAAACACCATGCTATTGTCTTATACGAGTATGTTTGTTTGTATCTTGGAAACAGAAATATGATTAATGATTTTAAGTTTAAAATATGTTCAGACTTTGTATATTTATATGTTTGTATTATCCAACTAAAACAAAAATTTGAACAAGTATTAAAAATAAATTTATTGAGTTTGAACTAATATTTTATCTTCCTCAACATTCTTTTTCCTTCCAAATTTCTCGTACAGTTTTATCCCTGTTTTCTTTCCCTACCATTTCCAAGTTCCAAACAGAGCCCAGTGGTATATACATTCAGCATTTCAGCATGTGGAGGATTAGAGTTGGGATGTAAATCTGTGTCCTGTACTTGCAAAGCAGTTGTTCCTTGTGTTCACTGTTTGAGCAAGTGAAGAGCTTAGGTGCTAACTGGCAATCTATTAATACCAAAAATACATTAATATGTGTAAATGTAATCTTTGGAGTCGATAATTATCTTGGCCATTATCTTTTAAACAACTTTGTTTTTCCCCCTTTTTCATCTATTATGTTTATTGTAATTTTCATATAGTAGATTATTAGTAGGTTAGTATACAACACATTGGTCAGCTACATAGGTCAGCAAATTATGTGCCATTTGCCAATATCACAGCGCCTATTGGTTCAACTCTATTAACTTTGGGTATGTTTGGGAAATCTGAAAAGTTGGATTATCTCAATAATCGATTTATGTATAACTGATGATTGTTACAATATTGTTACAATCGATTGTATGATTGTATCTACAAATCTACATTTACTTTTTCTGGGAAATGTTTGCTGAAAAGTTGTTTGAAATAATTAATCATGCTTTGATCAAACGACTATATTTTCTTGAAAGAGGTATGAAAACAACCGAAACAAAAGTATTCTTTGAAATTTAACCATAAGCTATAAATTTGGAGCTTCTGAAAAACCGCTGAAACGGGATGAACAATGTTTTTTGCAATTAAAACTAGGGATGGATTAAGATGGGATTGGGCCTGGCTTCGGGACGGGACTGGGCGGGCTTCAGGCTTAATGATTTCAGGCCCGGTATCGACCTGGGTTTGTACTGGGATCGGCCCCAAAAAGTACCGGGTCGGGCCGGGCTTCGGGATGGGATTGGGTATTTAATTAAAAAAATAAAAATGCTAGAGGTACCCCAATTTGTACCCTAATTTGTACCCCTACCCTATTTTTGTGGCTCACAAAAGCAACTCATTAAAGTGGAGCAATTCATTTATTGAAGTGGGTTTTTGTGAGCCACACAAATAGGTTGGGATACAAATTGGGGTACCTATAGCAAGGTTGTTAAAAAAATAGTGCAGTCGGACCCAGCCGGGCCAGACCCAAAAATTCAAGCCCGAAGCTCGCCATTAAAGCCACCGTTTCGAGCCCCAGGTTGGGCCGGGCATATACAACAACGTGCCAGGTCGGGACTAAACAGTACTGGGTCAGGCCTAAACAGTACAGGGCTTGGGTCGGCCCGATCTGTCCTAGTCCATCCCTAATCAAAAGTCAAAACCATCCTCCCAAGTTTGATGATTTTTTTGTTTACCGCTTTGATTTTACTGACAGCTAAACTCGTAGATCTTAGACATGCTTTTTTGTTGGTTTGTATTAGAGGGATAAAGTTCCTCCACCCTAACATAGTGCAACTCTTGTAATTTATTTACAGTAAAGTTTAACAAGCTCTTCAAAATAATTACAATCTAAAATTTAAACTAATTACAAGCTCAAAAGTTTAACAAGCTTGAGAATTGAGATAATTTGTGCTCCCTATTTTAAAGAACATTGGACTTCCCTACTTGATTGAACACAATTCTGTCCACACGAATTGAGCTAATAATATATACGGAGTATAAATTGTGTTGTAATAATTCGGCCGGATATACCTGCAAAAAGACTTAGAAAATAATCTAGCTCGAGACGCGTCAGACGCTGTCCTCAAGAAAGTATTTCCGACTAGCGAAAACCTTTCCCCAAGATATAACGAGCTCTTCGGCGTAAGCCGGTAACAGAACAACGAGATGAGAATAAATTAATTCAGCAGAGTTATAATATATTTGGGGATGTTGAGCACGAAATATGATAATCTCTCTTTCAAACCTTCTGGCCGAACACACATATATATACATGCTCAAAGATATAAACGTTGGTGGCCAACGTTAGTGGCCTTTACTGATTGAGCCGTTGCTGCCAGGTAAAAACGTTCGTGCATTAAATAAAATTAATGTTTGAGATAGATCAATTTTATTCTAACGTTGAGCACTTATGGACTAAGACTCAAAATTCTAGTCTGGAAAACTAAACGTTGAGCACAACTTTACTCCAACACATCCGTTGATTAAAATTTATTATTAGACATTCATTAGAAATATTTTTTATAATGAAATATACCAAAATATTAGATTTATAAAATTGATTAATAAAGTAATATCATTAGATAATAAGAGATAGTTTATTCATTTGAAATGCTCTCAATATTTCCAACAATCCCCCACATATTTCAAATGAATATTTTTTAAATTTTGAAAACAGTTTTGAAAATTTTCTGCTGGATTAAAGGAATGAGACTTTAAGTTTGGTGTCCGTAGACTATGAACCAAACCGAGACGATTAAGTCTTAATAAACCGAGCTTTTGGTGAAACATATAGTTTCTATGAACCAACAAGCCACTATTGGTAAATCAGGGTCTTAACGGTCGTGTCTCACCCTGCACAATTTCTCGTTATTACGCCGTTGTGCGCCGTAAGGCCATGCGCGTGCTTGGTTTTCATGAGTGCTCTAGAAGTTTTGTCATGCTTCATGGAGGCGGCCTCACCTCACACTCATATAGGTGACATCATCAAGTGTGTACCGCTTTTGCACACCACCCTAAAATTAAGGGCTATGATAATCATTAAGAGCTTTTAGCTCATCCTCTCAAAGTATGCGGTTTCTAGCCTATATCTCACATCATGGAAATGGACAACTTCAGTTAGGCTAGCAGAACTAAATGGGAGACTTGTTATTACCCATATGAACTTGCTTCATGGGATCTCCAATCACACAAGTTGGGTTCCCATCCCCATTCGTTTCAAGCGACACTAGTCCCATTTCCTTAGATGTTTCGGTTATTAATTTTCGTCCTAGGGCTTTTGTCAAAGGATCCGCTAAATTTCCTTGTGACCTCACAAAATTAATGGACACAATTCCATTCTTCAATAATCGTTTAATGACTTTATGTCTTAAACGAATGTGTCTATTCTTCCCATTATAACACATTTTCTTAGCAGTATCTATTGCACTTCTGCAATCACAATGAATAGACACAGATGGTATTGGTTTTGTACCAACCGGAATTTCTGCTAAGAAAGATTTCAACCACTCCGCTTCACTACAGGCTACTTCCAAAGCAATAAGCTCGGACTCCATAGTGGATCTAGAAATTATAGTTTGTTTGGTTGATTTCCACGTAATGGCACCACCTCCAAGGGTGAATATATATCCAGTGTTGGATTTTATCTCATCTGAGTCAGAGACCCAGTTAGCATCGCTGTATCCCTCTAGTACAGCGGGTATCCCACTATAAAATATACCATAATTAATGGTACCTCTCAAATATCTAAGTAACCGCCTCAACGCGGTCCAATGATCCCCACTTGGATTATGAGTATATCTACTCAATCTTCCGACAGCATAAGCTATGTCGGGCCTCGTATAATTCATCAAGTGTAATAAACTTCCAATAATTTGGGAATACTCATATTGAGCCTCGGGATCACCTCTATGTTTTTTCAAATGTGTATGAGAGTCATAAGGGGTGCTCACAGGGTTGACATCGAAGTGTCCAAACCTCTTTAGAAGTTTTTCAGCATAATGCTCTTGAGATAGTATAATACCATCATCCTTCCTTATGACTTTCATACCCAAAATCACTTTTGCTTCCCCCAAATCTTTCATAACAAATTTTGAAGCAAGAAAGGATTTTGTCTCATTTATTAAATCAAGGTTGCTACTAAAAATTAACATATCATCCACATATAAGCAAATAATAATGCACACACCATTTTCACATTTAGTGTATACACACTTATCTACTTCTAGTGAGGTAAAACCATGAGCAAATAACACTTCATCAAATTTTTCATTCCATTGTTTTGGAGCTTGTTTCAAACCATATAAAGATTTGATCAACTTACACACTTTGTGTTCCTGACCAATAACTACATGACCCTCCGGTTGCACCATATAAATTTCTTCCTCTAGCTCACCATTTAAAAACGCAGTTTTAACATCCATTTGATGGACAAAAAGTTTGTGAATAGAAGCCAAGGCAATTAAAGTTCGTATAGAAGAAATACGCGTTACCGGTGCAAATGTGTCAAAATAATCAACATCTTGTTTTTGAGAAAAACCTTTCGCCACAAGCCTCGCTTTGTATTTATCAATTGAACCATCCGGATTTAATTTCTTTTTAAAAATCCATTTGCATCCGATTGGTTTGCAACCTTTCGGTAAATCAGTTAAAATCCAAGTTTTATTTTGTTTGATAGAATCAATTTCATTTTGTATGGCCTCAAGCCAAAAAGGAGCTTCTTTGGAAGAAATAGCTTGTGAGTAAGTTAAAGGTTCATCATTAACAAGATATGTATAAAAATCATTTCCAAAAGATTTTTCTATCCTTGGCCTCTTACTTCTTCTCAAAAGAGAAGGTTCATCACTAAAAGAATCATTTTCTTTTAATGGCTCACTATCACTAGAGGGTTCATCATTAAAGGTTTCATTTCCTTGTAATGGGTCATACTCACTATATGGTGCAACGGTCGTGTGTTCTCGTTTCAAAGGAAACACATTTTCAAAAAATTCAGCATTTTTTGTTTCAACAATTGTATCACATTCAAGCACATCACTTTGCAAAACAAGGAATCTATAAGCAGCACTAGATTCAGCATAACCAATAAACATGCAATCAGAAGTCTTAGAACCGATCTTCCTCTTCTTGGGATCAGGCAATAAGACCTTAGCTAAACACCCCCACACTTTCAAATATTTCAAATTAGGTGCATGACCTTTCCACAATTCATAAGGGGTTTTCTTATTGTGCTTATAGGGTATCCTATTTTGTAGGTGACATGCAGAAAGAATAGCCTCCCCCCAAAGATTATCAGGTGCACCAGAACTGATTAAAAGAGCATTCATCATATCTTTTAGTGTCCTATTTTTTCTTTCAGCTATTCCATTAGATTCGGGTGAATATGGCGGAGTAACCTCATGAATAATCCCTTCTTTTTCACAAAAATCATTTAATAAAATAAACTCACCCCCTCTATCCGATCTAACTCTCTTAATCTTTTTATTTAATTGATTTTCTACCTCGGATTTATACACTAAAAATTTATCAAAAGCCTCATCTTTATTTTTAAGCAAATAAACTTTAGTGTATCTAGAAAAATCATCTATAAAGGTGACATAATATTTTTTACCACCTCTAGTCATGGTATTTTTTAAATCACCTAAATCCGTGTGAATTAAACTAAGCAATTCCGATTCCCTATATATGGAGGGACAATGTTTTTTAGTTAGTTTAGATTGAACACAAACGCCACATTTTTCATGTGTCGTTTTATTTTTAAAAGAAATCAAACCACAATCATTTAGCATTTTAATATAAGAATTACTTGCATGTCCTAATCTAGCATGCCACACATCATAAGAATCAATTAAATAAATAGAAGCATTATCATGCAATATTTCAGAAATGTCAAGTATATA